TGGATAGATTTTGGATTTTTTAGTTTGGGTTTGTCCATGTCATTATGGACTTAAGTCTATTTATTTGCCACATATGCAAAAAGAGACCCAAAGCATTGTGGATGCTCTAAGATCCAATCGTTGGTCATTCTTAAATCTTGGAAATCTTAAAAGAAATTTCACAAGGGAGCGACTTTTTCTGTGACGGCGTGCTGAAGTCGTCTCTTATCTCTCCGTCACTCACATCCGAGATGATAGATCTGACAATAAGTCCGCCGATATTGTTGCTTATTTCAGCGTTAATCCTATCTTAGGTATGATTCTATATTGTTTTTATGTTTTCTTATCTTTCTATGGTTTGTGATGGATTGGGTGATTGACTCACTTGAAGATATAGATGAACATGATGGCACATACTGAGCAGCAGGCGTCAATCGAGGGAAGAGTTTCAATTAATGTAATTGTTTCAGTTGGAATATCCATGGGAAATTTCACTTGGAAATTTCATGAAAGGTTCAAATTTTAATACTTACAAAGTTCTAAATGTTGTATTATGTTTGTTATAATATATAGATATACACACACACACATATTTATAATACATATTGTTTTTTTATAAGATATATAAGATATATATACACATATACACACACATATATAAAACCAGAGATTGCTATTAATTGGGCAAGGTCTAGCTATGGTTTGTCATAGATTGAGTTGTTGGCATATGCTGAACAAAGAAATTGTCAAATACTTCTACAAGAAAATCATAATTTTCTATTCATATTTTTTTTTTGGTAGAATGAGAAAGAATCTTACGCTTATGTGCAACAAGGCCCGAACACGTCGAACTCCAACCTCAACGCTGCTTGGCCGTGGTGGATTGTGGCTTTCGACAAGCCAAGTTCCAGAGGGAAAGAGAGTACATATGAAGAATTCAAAGAACCCAACTGGATTGAAATATGCCAGTTGTGTCATGCCATGATGTTGTTCATCCGTAAGAACAATAAGACCCATTTATATTTATTCTTGCTACATACTTGTAGTTGAACTTGCATTTTTATTTATTTATTAAATTTCAAATAATCTTGACGGAATATTTTTCTTATAAAAGGGAATATTTTTCTTAAAAAAAGGTTTTCAGGAGGTGAGGTGAGTCGAGGCAGAATTAAGTTAGGATTGGGCTTAAAACTGGACAATGGTAATGCACACGTCTCATGCCCCAGTGGAGTAAGGTATGCATTTTAATTTTATTAACTGAACTTTGATGGCATCTAAATGCATGGAAAATATGTAGTACTATGCAAATGTGTTGGTAGTTTTATGCAACATATATATATATAAATACATATGATGACCTTTTATAATGGAAGTTTCCCATTTTATTTTGTCAATATCCTTCACACTTTGAAACCCGAGCTGTCTTTTGATGGTTTCAACTCAGTAAAAGAACAAAACTATAAAAATATTTTTGTATTTCTTTATTTTATTCTTTGCCTCGTATTGTCACCTTTTAGAAATGCAATTTCATTTATAGTTCATTATATTTGTCAATTTAGCAAATGTTCACCTTTTTGGCAGACATCAAATTTAGTACAAAAAGTGTTTTCAGGTCGGCTGGTCGAACCTGGTCGACCAGGGACTGACCAAACGATTAATCGTGATTAATCGTCGACCAGCTAGATTAATCGGGCTGGTCGAGCCTGGTCGTCCATTTGGTCGTTAGGACATATCCTCTATATATATATACCTCTATATATACTATATTATAGACATTAAAGGAAGCATCAAGACTGCATTAGTGCCTTACTTGTGGGAGTTGTTTTCTTCTCTTTTCTACACTGTCCAAAGGTCCATATTCCTTTCCCAAACTCCATGTGTTTGCTGCCTTGCTGCTGGGAGCCTGGAATAGCAAAGGAAACTGTAATTAGCAAGCATCAACACTAATGCAGTCATCTAGAGTTCTTGACACACTTAACCATAGCAGCATCACAACCAACATATTACATAACCAAACCAAAGTCTTAACTGGTTCAGTACAGATAAGCTAAAGTGTTCAACACAAAGTTACAAACATTGACATTCAATAGTCCAACAAAAGTAGGCAACTTGCAATAGCCATCTACATCTATTCATCTAATCAAGCAAATCATCATTGACACGAAAGCCTTCATCTCCATCTTCAGCTGCAGCAACTTCATCCTCCTCCATTAATGTCGCTGAATTAGATTCAGCATTTTGATCTTGGCGCTCATCACCATCTTCATCAATATCTGAAATCGTTGTCCTTGGACGCTTCCTGGTCCTCTGATATGTCTGACTCACAGGGGCAGCATGAGCAGCCCGGGGCATGTTACGTCCCTCTAGCTCCTGAGTTGCACCAATAGCTTCATCCACTTGTGCCCAAGTCAAATTGCCACCACCTTGCTGAACACCACCTTGCTGAACTGGTTCACAATCAATTTCAGTTAACCATTCATTTTCCCATTGGAATTCATCTAGTATGAGAGGATTGCTTCTCTTTCCTTTGGAACCCAACTCTATAATTCTTTTAAATTTGTTTTCCATCTTCCGATTGTAGCTGACGTATACCAACTTATTTAACCTTTGGTGCTCTAACTGGTTTCTCTTTTTTGTATGGACCTGCACAAAATACAATGCAGCATCACAACTCCATATATATCAATATTGTACCACCTAGCAAACTCAATTACTTAGCTGCAGAACAGTAGCACTTACAGCAGAAAAATCACTCCAATTACGCTCGCATCCAGATGCAGAGCAACACAGTCTAACAATCCTTTTTTCTAAACACTGGAGCTCAAATGTCGCGCCACCATAAGCACCCCACCAAAGAACTATAATTTCCATTCCAAACATAGAATTCAACTATTAGTTGATTGCTGATTGCTATTAGAAAAATTATACATAATTACATATTTGAGAACTTACTAGGATTTTTTCTATCTCTATCTCTTATTGCTCCTTGCATGGAGAATGATTCGCCTTCAGCCCTCTCATAGTCATCAGCCTGCATGCTTATCTTGTTATGCTCCTCCTCCTCACTCACCATCTTCCACATAACTTGATTAAACATTAGCCTCAACCTCGAAGCTTGTCTCATGTTTTTTCCCTTTATGGCAAAGAATTTGCTTGGATTTAAGAAGAGGGCTGCTTTATACAGCTTCTGCTCCATTTGATTTTCCCATCTATTATCATAATAATGTAGCACTTGTTTGAGGAATTCTGGTTTGTGTTTCAAAGATTCCTTGATTGCAGCCTTTGCAACATCCATGGCTGCCATAGCTGCTGGTGTCTCATCTCCATTTGCTATCCTTAGTGCAACAAGAAGTGGCTGTGAAGCTTTTAGGCATGATTCCACTTTACCCCAAAACTGAACTGAAAGGATAATGTTCTCGACACGTCGACCTTCTTGAGTGCTAGAGTAAGAAAGTTCATGCCATTCTTCACTAACCACTAAGCCCCTCAATGCACGACAATGCTTATACATGCATGATAATGTGAGAAATGAAGTGGCAAAATGTGTTACACCTGGTCTCAAGGTCCCCTCCAATCTTATTTCGCATGAGGTCTAGAACCCTCCCATGCTTATACATAAATCTGGTCACCTTCATTGCCGTTTTGATGCAACTGTTAAATTTTGGGATCTTCCCAATGTCCTCCAGCAACAAATCCAAGCAATGGGCTGCACATGGTGTCCAAAAAAGATGGGGAATCTTCTCCATTAAAAGCCTCCCTGCTGCCCTGAAGTTGGCTCCATTGTCAGTTACAATCTGCACCACATGTTCCTTCCCAATCTTATCAATTTGCTTCTCCAACAAATCAGCCAACATAGCTGTACTTGCTACCTCACTTAAAGCATCAACAGACCCTAGAAAAAAAGTTCATATTGGACTGTGGACTATTAACAAGGAAATTGATGAGATGTCAGTGGGTTGTGCTAGTCCACCCATCCGACATTAGGGTGCAACCATATTCCTTCCATGCCTCCTCATGCTTCTTCCTCAACTCTGATGTTCTAGTTACAGCCTTTTCAAGGAGTGAATTCCTAATCTCATGATATGATTGTAACCGGTACCCAGGACCATATTGTCCAATTGACTCAACCAAAATTTCCAAGCTTCTTGAATTAATGACATTCAATGGAAGGCGATTCTCATAAAAGAAATCTGCAACATGATTATCAACAATTTGTTTGGCCTCCTTACTTTTCTTTGTGCAGTGCTCAAGTGTAGGTTGACTTAGCTTGGACTTGTGCCTCTATGCAACTACTTCCTCTGGTGACTTGGAAAGCATGGAACTCACTGACCTAGAATATTTTTGAGTTCCTGGTTTTGCTGCAGCACTTATGCTAGCCTGAGCAATCTTCTTCTTGACTTGCTTACCTTTTGTTCCAGAACTTGGTACGGGTTCAGCTGCAGCTTCAGCTTCTTCTACAACAACATCAACTTGTTCCTCTTCATCTTCAACTTGTGCCGCCACAGGAACAGTCCTTGAATTCTTTTTGAAGTAAGCCAACATCTCCTTCTTAACTATTTCTGGACATCTAGGACAACCAAGAGCATCTCACAAGTCATTAGTGGCATGATGAGATAAAGACCAGATTATCACGGGTTCGACGCTGCTAATCACAAGCCAAAAATGTAGTTTGTGCATATAATTTTGAACGGGCAATTAGCTAAGCAAACAAAATCCATTTCGTTTCAAATTTCGGCTATATCACCTTCTCGACGAAAAGAATTCAAGGGTGGATCACATACTTAAAACTGATGTGAGATGACACCATAATTAAGTTGAAAGTAGAATAACCCAAATTATTTTAGATGAAAAATTGACTGACAAATGAAATCTAATTAAGCTACAAAAAATTTTGGTTATGACTGTCTTGATGAGATAAATCCAACGATTAGTCACCCGACTAGAACATAGACCATAAGGCACCAAACAAGATAGATAACAACAAAATTGGGCTAAAATTATTTTGGATGAAAATTGGGAGTCAAACGAACTCCAATTATGTGAAGATACATAACATGTATGTCGTGGGGAGGATAGCTGAAATGGGTCACCGGTTTTAACCAAGTTTGACCAGGTTGATGGGTAGGTTGATGGGTTTTGTTATGGACATTTAAACAATTCAGAACCAACCCGACTTTGTTATAGGTCCCCAATTAAACCAAACGGTACGAGTTTTAAAAATATTTGACAAGGAAAAGAGAAACGATAAGCACCATCATAAACAGAAACAAAGCCTACAGATAACATAACATGTTAACGTAAGTTCAATCCAAGCAAATCAAAAAAATAAGGGCATCAACTTTGATTCAAGCATACAAATCCAAATCTCAAGTAAATCGTGAAAATAAGTGATCTACAAGATCCGCTGCAACATACGAAAAGATGAATACGTGACACCGTACAAACAAATTTTTTTACACCATTTTTATAGTGCTCGAAGCAGATATTGCCTAACACTCAGAAAATAATATCTAAAGCATCGAATGCAGTTTTTTTAAGAATGGAGGCGTACCAAGTAAAGAACGAGACACGATCACAACCATCGAATGTTATTTCCTTGATATACGATGCATAAAACTATTGAATAAAAATCATGTCAGGTATTTATAAATAAACATGTCAGATACACATAATTTATAATACTCTATTTATTTTTGTGCATATGCATCAGATATATAACTAGTTAAGATAAATAAAGAACATTAACATTAAACAATACATTTTACTTTAAAGTGAGACCAAGTTGTACGGAGATAAAATGCTAACGTCAATATGAACAACGACTAGCATACTATTCTGGGCAAATGTCGTTACCCGAATTTTGGTATTTTCTAAAATTTCTTTGATCAATGTCTTCTTTAACTTTTTCGTCAATTTTAAATTAACGTACTGCAAAACAAACAACCAAATATAGTTTTTGTATATATTGAATAATATTTAACATACAAAAAATTTAGCGTTTAGTAAAATTGGACTAAATTATTGATTAATTCATTTCGAAAAAGTAAGTGTAGTTACATTATTAATAAATATTTAGGTAGCACACTAATTGTAAATATAATGAATAAAATAAAAAAATTAAACAGAAATTAAATAATAGTAGACAAAAAGCACAAACTCTCTTCTTTTGTGGAAAGACGAACTAAATAATTGATTAAAGAATTGGGTTATATTTTGACTAAAAGACATTAGATTTCAATAAGTTTACAATTCAACTTATTACATTTTCATGTTGCTTGTTTCATACACGTAAGCATAATTCATAATTCACATGTAGCATGACATTAATTTCCAAGAAAAATATTAAAAAGGTACTTAATGTAACTTCTTGGTCCAGTTAATACCAAGTTACAAAATGAAATAAAGGAGTAAGAAACTACCTCTTATGTCCCCTCCTGTGTACGAATCATGTAATGATGTCTTCATCATATATAAAGCAAGACTACCAAGGGGACTCTTGCTCTACATAGGATTCTGATGCAAACATGATTTGTACACTAGAGGGTACATAAGAGGTAGTGCTTTAGTTCTTTTTGTAACTTGGTTATTTTAATTAATTGGACCAAGAATATTACACTAACACATACCTTTTTAATATTTTTTTTTTGGAAATTAATATCACGTTACGTGTGAATTATGAATTTTGCTTACGTATATATGGGACAAACAACACGAAAATGAAATAAATTGAATTATTAACTAGTTGAAAATCTAAGGTCATGTAATTAAAATATATATCTCATTCTTTAATCAATTATTTAATTCGTCTTTCCACAAAACAATAAAGAGTTGTATTTTTGGTCTATTATTATTTCTCTTTAATTCTTTTATTCATTATATTTGCAATTAGTTTGGTACTTAAATGTTTATTACTAATGTAACTACACTTATCCCGTGTAATTAATTAATCAATAATTCAATTTAATTTACTAAACGCTCAATTTTTTGTATGTTAAATATTATTCGATACATAAAATAACTATATTTGGTTGTTTGTTTTGCAGTACGTTCATTTGAAATTGACAAACAAGTTACACAAAGACATTTATCAAAGAATTTTGCAAATAACAGGCTTCGGGGAACGACATTTGCCTAGAATAGTATGTTAGCCGTTGTTCATCACTTTGACGTTAACATTTTTTATTCGCACGACTTGGTCTTACTTTTAAGTGAAACGTATTGTTTAATGTTTATGTTCTCTATTTATCTTAAGTCATTATATATTTGGTGCATATGCATAAAATTAAATAAAGTATTATAAATTATGTGTACGTGTCATGTTTATTTATAAATACTTGACATGATTATCTTCAATAGTTTCAAACATCGTATATCAAGGAAAAACATTCGATTGTTGTGCAAATATCTCGTTGTTTACTTGGTTCTATCTCCATTTTTTAAAGGATTGCACTCAATGGTTTAGACATTGTTTTCTCCGAGTCTGTTAGGCAATATCCATTTCCAGCAATATGCAAATAGTGTAAAAAAAATCTTGTTTGTACGGTGTCACATATCCATTTCTTCGTATGTTGCAGCGGCTAGTGGAGATCACTTCATTTCACGATTTACTTGAGATTTAGTTATTGGATTGGTTGGCTTGAATCAAAGTTGATGCGCTTATTTTGTGGTGGCGAGTGGCAGTCAGAGATGATGCAGCGGGACAAAACTAGAGACGTGTGTGTGTATGTGAGAGAAATGGAGGTTTGGTGGGGTGGTGGTGGGGCCCTCATGTGATGTGGATGAATATGGGTAATTACCACATTGCCCTTATTTAATGCTTAAATGTGTATATTTGAATTTAAATATCAAAGAAAAATCGATTTTGTAACTAAAAAATGTGGATACGATATTTAATGTACATCCCGTCTAAATCTCAATTTTGTTTTAAAATAAAAATTGCACTTGGTTTTATCGAATTTCCACACATTTTTTGAAAGAAAAAATTATTCAAAAAGATTGAAAGAATTTGTTAAGTATTATACAATTTGTTTCCTAAATTTGTGTCCAATTTGTTTGGTCTTTAAATTAATGTGTATTTGGAATTGCTTTCAAAAATAATTTATACATTTTTGGCATACGAATCTTCAAAGTTATTAGAGCAAAATGGGAATCAGATTTAGGTATAAAAATAAAAAATGATTTGGAAAATATGGGATTCTGATTTTACCTAAAAATCTTCATATTTGTTATAGAAAATATAGGATTTAAATTTTGTTATTGAAGTTTAACATGCGTTTTTTTCAAAATTTCCACTAATAGTAACTCAAATACTATATCTTTTCGTCAAACTTTCTATTAACGCATTTTTCGAGCAACCTCTTCACATATCTCTCTTATATATATAGAAACGAGTTTGGGCGATTGTGGTGACGACACGTGTCCAATTTCGACCCTTCCTTTGGTCAACACGTGGCTTTCACTTTTTTTTTCCTTCATTTGGGCAAAACGGCACCGTTTAGGTGCGCTCGTGCATTTTAATTGACAATGGCGGTTGCTACTGTTTTGCTGGCTTCTTGAGGTCTCAATTCTCTACAGAGTTACTTTCTCCTCAATTCCTGCACACGCAATTTTTCGGATTTGACGGGAGCAGAAGCGATTCATGGAAAAATAGATCGACCAGATAAAATATCTCTGTTTTTACAAACCCTACCCAACCCAAGCAATTACCCTTTCCTGAGCAGCGACAATCAAGAAGCAGCGACGATGGGCTCGGCAGATCCGACGGTACCTTCGCCGCAGCCGCCGACGGCTGCGACGGCATCTTCCTCATGGCCACGGCGTTGGACTTCGAGGAGGGAGAGAGAGAGAGAGAGAGAGAGAGAGAGAAAGAGA